CACCTGGAAAAAGACAAGTTATGTTCTGTTTATAACTTCTGCTTTTAGTTCATTGTTTTCATTTTCCCCCTATTCATTCACTGTTCAAACAGTTAAAGACAGAACTGCACACAGAAACATGTGTAAACATCTGCGGTATCCGCAGCTTGTTTTTTATTTTTATAATTAAATAATAATTTAAGACTGAAACCTTTCAGTTAATGAATTCTTAATGTGCACTCTGATGTTTATGATCATAAAAGGGGAATAAACAACGCAGGTTTTCCACAAAGGAAATCCTGGAAGCTGAGCGTGTTTTATCATTTATGCTTTAAAAATAAACAGTGTTGGGGAGTAACGGAATACATGTACCGCCGTTACGTATTTAAAATACAAAATATGAGTAACTGTATTCCGTTACAGTTACCGTTTAAAAAGGTGGTATTCAGAATACAGTTACTTTGTTGAAATAAATGGATTACACTGCGGTACTTTCCTGTTTCATTTTGTCGCGGGCCAGGACTGTTTGGGTTTTGTTTGACAGCTACGTGCCGTTGTTCCAGGCGGCAGCGCTACGGTTGCCATGGTTACAGGGCGACGCTCTCTCTCTCTCTCTCTGCGACTGTGTGTTTCCTAGGTGAGAGAGCGCCTTTTCGTTGTTGTTGTTGTTGTTGTTGTTGTTGTGCTAAGCTAACAGGCAGAATGCTACAAGCATAGCTCTAAAGAATGTAGCATCATGGGCAGTGTAGTCCGTGTTGCAGAGAGAATGGACTGCCATACACGTTATGGGTCTGTGAGCGCGAGGAGGGAGATAGAAAAAGGGGAGTGGAAAGGTTGGAGTTGTCATCGAGGAAAAACGGGAGCTGGAAGCATGTAAATATAATAATAACCACTTCAGCCAAGCTATTAAGACTCGACTGTACACCGTGTTCGTGTTTTCCTCCGAAAACAATAAGTTCCGTTGGAGCAGTCTTTCAACGCCTCTCTCTGTCTCTCGCAAGAAAAGTTGACCCACACAACAAAGTAAAGCTAGTTTTCGGCTACGAGCCGACAGGGACCCCGCCGTATTAGTCAGAGGTCCCTTTACTACAGTTCGGAGTCGCGGACCTTCAGTAATAGTAATAAATCACATGGCAATAGTACATTCACGTTGTTGTAAAAAGCATGATAATATATTAAGTAATCCAAAGTATTCAGAATACGTTACTGTCATTGAGTAACGTAACGGAATACGTTACAGAATACATTTTGGGGCATGTATTCTGTATTCTGTAATGGAATACATCTCAAAAGTAACCTTCCCAACACTGAAAATAAATGACACCGTCAACTGTCAGATTAGCTGCATGTTGATCTTCTCAGATGACTAACTGATTGATTCACTACTCCTTTCAGCTCTTTCTACTTTAAACACATACACACACACAGACACACGACATGTACAATGTCCAGTCAAAGCCTCACGCTGCCGTCATCGTGGCACTAAGCCATCTTCCTACAAGTCTGCTTATACACAGACAGCAGCTCCAGCTGGCCTGCATATTATCAGCAGCAGCCCTTGTCCCGGATACGGAGTCATTTATTGCATTATCACAAAACACACACATTCATAAAATGTTATGTGCTCACAGGATGAGTGTGGGCTTCAACAGAAGGCGCTCAGAGATCATGATTCATTTCCACTACTTCAAGTAGGCCCCTGGTAGGTTCGTAACAACATCACTTTGCATCCTGCGCTGCTCTATTCCTGGGTGAGAGGGTTACTGAGGGTGAAAGAGAGAGTCTACCTCTAAGAATAACCAACACCATCCGGTCCCAATTCTAGACGAGCTATCTATTACAGCATATTAGGATGTATAGGTTATGCTGCTCGTGTGGGTGCTGACTCTCCCATTTATACCTTTGAGGACTCCTAGAAATGCACCGCTTTCCATTAATCTGATCATATCACGTTCACACAACTTTGCAAAGCTTCAGACCGCAATCTGACCAGGTCAGACTAACGTAGCTGCACGTGTCCGACCTGCAAGTAATCTGTGGCTCTCTCTGTGTCTGAATGAAGCCACGAGGAACACGAGGAGCGACCTACTCAATTAATACAGTGCTATAATCTGCTATAATTCTAATTGTGACACACAGAGATGGGCGAGAGTCTGGGTGATGAAAGAGAGACCACAGAGCAGAGAAGGGTCTAACCTACGATAATATGCAGTTACTGAATAGAAATCATGATTCTATAGGTTTTAGAGTTGTTTCTTATGTGCATAACAGGGAATAACAACAAGAGGCTTAGCTGTTTCACATTTACTATAAATGTAATTATCTGAAATAATCAGCCTGGGGGGGGGGGGGGGGGGGGGGGGGGGCGCAATAAAGTGCATATATATGATTTTCCAGATGTTAGAAATCAGGAAAAATAATAAGCTGATCTCCAATGAAAACAATGTTCATTTAATAAACTGTTGAACTTTGCTACTTTGTGTTTTTGTCCCCTCCATTTTTTGATATCATAGGAAAAGGACTGACAGCTATAGTACGGTAGTTCCTTCAATCAATCACAGCAATGACAATATGCGTTCTTATTTCTTTGCACTTGCAACGCATGATGTCAGTGCCAATGTCGTGTAATTCCACACTGATGTGTGATCGCGCAACACTCACAGGAGGGAGTGTGCATAAACCCTGATGTCCGGAGTGGCAGTAATATTACCGTCGACAGGCTTGGGTTTGACATTCCCGGTGGTTTGATTTTCCCAGGCAGAAAACCTCAATATTTTAATTTAATCCCCAGAGCATTTATTTAGCCACTCCGTAATCCACAGGTCCAGTGCTTAGTCTGATAATTACCCTTATTGGACACCCATAATGATTAGTTTTTGGTTTCACCCAAAGCAGTGCAGGCAGTTTCATAGGGCGGTCGCAGCGCTTTGCGGAGTGGAAAACCAATCATGCGTGCTATAGCTCAGGTCATAAAAGAGGAGAAAGAGGTATGATTATTACTGCGAATGGCAGGCGACAATCCCCGGAGGGAAAAAAAAAAAAAAGTGCTGCAAACTCTTTGTGCAACTTTCACTTCTTGGCATTCATTGTAAAGATTGCAGAACAGGTGCTAGTAGTGCTGACACTTCTGCTGTGTCAACATTAACAACTATCATTGTGCTGAGCAGTGGTGTCAAAGAGGGCATCTGCTGTGAAATATCCCCCCCCTGCAAGAGCCAACTGAACCGAACCAAACCAAACTTTGAGCGCATTTTCCGGGGAATGGACGCGCCAGAGATCAGACATTAATCAGGGGAAATTTAGACATCTTACTCCTCACTTCGCTGTTACTCTCATTTGATTTTCCCCTTTACATTTCCACCCCAACATTTCCAAACTGACAGCATAAACTGCCAACATTCCCTCCACATGCGGTTTAATAATCCCACCCAGAAGTACCAAAATAAGCCCTTTTTGCGCATCTACCACTGTGACAAGCTTCCCTGCAAATGCCTGTCCGAGCTGGTAGCTCAGCTGGTATGTTCTACAGCTGGCTGGGAGTACAAGCCTTACTGGAAATTCATCAGGGATTTTTTTTTTTTTGTCTCCTTCATGTCTCAAACAGGTCAAGGCAGGTCCCCTCCATCTCCTCCCTTCCCCTCGGTGCTCTTTATGAGCCCCACCTGGCAGATTAGTATTCCACCACCACAAGTACCTTTTCTGCTGTTTACACATGCGCACACATTCATCTGTCACCGTTCTGGTGAAGGAATACAGGACACACACTGTTCAGACTACGCCCCTACCACCACCAGCACCACATTGTTTTCACACGTGTAGGCCGATACTCAAACAGAATAAGGATGTATTGTCATGTTAGTACCTTTAACAAAACATCCGAGGGCAGCAGGACATTGCAGTTGTTTTAGTTGTCCTTTAACGTGGCAATTTCAGTTATATTAGTTGATGGAAATGCCTGATTTTGCATTTGCATTCCAGTCTAAGAAAGGCCCAGACAATTGGGTAAAAACTGTTATCAGTCAGTATTGGTCTTCTTAAGTAACACTAGATAGTTTTGCCAAAAAACAGTCATGTATATATTCGTATTTTTATGTTTCCCTGAGACAAAAAGAGAAAAAACACTCAGATTGGACCAGAATTTCAAGAAAATGTCTATAATTTAAATAGGTTATATGTTTCTTATAGGCTAGATTGTCCACTGTTTAAACAGCTGTGAAATGGATCAATTAACTCTATTCTAACAAGGGAGTTTAAACTTTCCTTACCAACTTGAAAATAAGCTCATTCAGTAGGTGGTCTGTGTGCACCATAGGCTGGTCTGTGTGCACCATAGGCTGGTCTATATGTGGCCCAAGGATGGCTTTGAGCCCAGTTTGTGGTTTTTTAGTATGTAGCTTACAACTGAGCGTAGGCAATATATATATTGTTTGCATGGCACTCAACAATCACATATCATCATATTGTTCAGTATAAAAACCTTCCGATATGGCAGCAGAGTCCAGACCATCGTACATTCACAGCACTGTGCCGCAGAGTACTCACAGCTGAGCAGACAGCCATGCAAAGTTAAGACATGTTTTCGGCTATGTATTTCACAACTAGTTTGTGTAATGCATTGCTTCAAAGATAATAAACAATGACCACATCACATCCCCTTGTCAACACAACTCCAACATGGGGCAGTGTTATATCACAATTATTTACTCCCTACACTCTGAAAAGTCTGAGTACATGCAACACACACACACACACACACACACACACACACACACACACACACACACACACACACACACACACACACCAAATGTCAAGAACACGTCCAAGCAGCCTCCACACTTCTACTCCATGTTCCTACAGCCCGGGCAGTCAGTCTGAAAGGACTGACGTTACTATGTGCGTAAAGCAGTAAAAAAAAACGTATCGAGTGCAGAAGCAGATAAATGCAACCTCATAACAAAAATGCCAAGTGTTACCAAAAGAAGATATGAACGGTTTATGTGCGGCAACATTTTAACCACCTGAGGTTTTCCTGCAGAGCTGGATGCTTCAATTTGGCTTAAGAACGACGACGAGAAGGAGGAGGAGGAGGGCTGAAAAACTTGCCGCAGTTCAGACTTCTGCAGTCCGGACTCCTCGAGTCTCAACAAGCCGCTGTGTGAATCCCCAAATATACACTCCGCTTCTTCCTCAAACACAGAATAAAGACTCAAATTTACCTCAGCAGTTCCACCGCCGGGTCCGGAAAACGCAACGGTAAATCCACAACTTCACGCGGGCTGAGCTCGTGCGGACGGTAGGGCTCGCTGCAGCCGACACGGCCGGGACAAGTTCATCCGCATATTCTCATTCAAGACCAGAGAGTTGGAGGCGATAGGGGGGGAACCGCTTTCTGCTTTCCCCCTTTCCCTCAGTCGCTTTCGCTGGTCCTTTCCTCTCGGATATTCCCCTCCCTGGTCCTTTTGAGATCAAACCATCACATTCCACCGCGTCCTTAACAATGAAAAAAGGTGGGTTTTCCTTTTCTGTTGCCGGAGGACCCACCCCTCGGGATGACTCTGCCCGGTCTGACCGCAAAGAGAACGCCCTTCCCGGCGTCAAGGTCCCGCCTCTCTCTCTCTCTCTCTCCCACAGAACATACACAAGCCAGGCCGGTGAGGAGGAATGAATCCGAGCTGGATCCTGCATAGATGCAGGCTACTGCTTGTGTCTGAGCAAACGTATCATAAAAACCAGTTGTCTGTGAACGCTGCATGAACTATTGTTTTATGGCATTTATACCATTTGCAATAGAAGTGACAGAAAAGTCACGGGCTCAGCAGCACCTGTAGCATCCCACAACACTTTCAAAGATCATATCCATATAATTAGGATCCCCCAAGAAAGTACTGATTACCACAAAAAATATTGGGGCTATAATATAGATGAAATGTCCAAACAGTATAAGCTTGTTGGGTTCTATCAAATGTCTCTAAATATGTATGGACTAACCATTATACAAAACCAGTCAAGACCACAGTCTTCCCTTACGGGAATAATTAGTATGAGTTCACCTCTCTATTCCCTCTCTTTCAGCTCTCAGAATGTGGTTGTTTAATACGCTGGTGCCACTTGAATGAATACTATAGCATTGTTGTTTGTTGTGCTTTCTTTTTTCCCCATGTGTAACTGTTTGCCAATAGTAATGACTTGTCACAGCCGTCTAGACAAATACACACAAACTAGTCCTGTTTTTCCCCAGAAAGTTTTGGAACAGAGGTGTATTGTTCGCTCTGTTTCTACAGCACGGCCATGAATTCTCCACTGGGTGTTTATTATCTTTTAGTTGCATGACACTGGAAGGCTGCAAGATGATAAAATATGAATAAAATGTGATAGGCAGCCAGCCAATTAGGTGACGTCATGCCCACACAAACACTCACTCACATTAAGGAGATTGTTTTTGTGTTCCTTAAACAGTTTTGCATAATTCCCAAGAAGCGTAGCTTTATTTGACAGCACGTGATAACACTATTAAAACAAAACCCACGCTTCTTTCATTGGTTGTGCTGTTTCCCACTAACATACCTCTGTCTCAGAAGTCATTCTAGTCGTGTAACTTGACACAATGGGCTAAGAGAGATGTAAATAATGTTTTCACTCTCGGCTGGTGGGGAAAGATACCAGAGATACCAAGGAATCAAAGAGAAATTAAATCCTTTCAGATGATGCTGAAATCCAGAGGCATAGCTGGGCATGCCTGAATGCCACTGCATGAGAAGCCAAACACAGGTGTACCTGAATATGCATGAGCGCCTATGTATTTTTTATACGCTTGATAGGTGTTTGCATATATATATATATCAATATACTTGTCTTCTTCAAAGACAAATAACACAGTATGATAAAAACCTGTAGGATATGGTTTTATTTCTGACTTTCAAGAGCTACTGCTCTGCTGTGCGCATTAAAATAACCATTGATCTTTAAAAAAAATCTATCAAGGCAATAGAAACTGAGATGACATGTAAGTAAATGGAAAACGGCTTGTTTTATAAGCACGAGTATCGGTCATGTTTCATCCATCTTGAGAGGGTTGGCTCATGCACAGACAAGCTTCTGTCATTTTGGGAATTTGCCTTAATATATCAAGTGATATAAATGTGAATGCATTGCACAGACTGCGATCTAATGCATAAGGACAGGGTTACAGGGGAATGTAATCCCCTACACCGCATGACTCTAGCACGCGGACACAAGCTGATTCAGGAAGAGCAGGTTTCTAGCCAACATCCTTCCTAAACACAAACACCCTTCAACAGCCAGAAACTTTTTTGTTCCAGTAAGAAGTTATGGGTGAACAGCAAAATTTGAAATTGAGTCAAGTAAAGAAAACAAAAAACAAAAGAAAAAGGTTCCCAAGCAGACGCCGGCATTGTTTTGCTGTTTGTGATTCCCATGTTAGGCATTTTATCTTAACTAGAGTAGCTTGCAGCAGTTGCAACAGCAGATAATCTCTGATAATCCCATGTAGCACACTAAAAATTACAAGCAACCAGTAGCAAGGAGTGTGAAGGTTAGGCCAATAGTCAACCCATGATATGCATTTGACTACAAAACAAGCATGAAAGAAATTAAATGAGAGCAAAGTGGAATCTCCTGCCTAAGCAAATATGGCTTATGGTGGAGCTTTCCTGCTTTATATCCTTTTTATAGTGAGGATAAGGATTAATGTGCTTAATTCACTGTCCTCTCAGGGTGGGTTACAGCCAGTATAAACAGATGTAACCCTGATGGATCAAAATGTGGGGCAGCTTGTCATGTAGAAAAACACTAATCGACTGCCATCAAGCAACCGTTGTGTTTGAAGGGGCCATATTCAAGACGGCATTCCCTCATTGTAATAATAATAATAATAATAATAATAATAATAATAATAATAATAATAATGTGTGGCTTGCAGTTGCTTAAACAGTCTTTTCCACTTAAAGCAATAAGAGTTAACATCTAACGGCTCTTATTAAGTTCTGATATTTGAAGTCTTAATTTGGAAATACTCAGAATGTCTCATGGGAGAGGAGCGAGAGGGCGAGCGCTCCAAATCCTTTGATACTTAAAAAAAGTCATGTCCTACTGTCAGGTCTTATATCATCTGGAAGTACAGATGCCTCAGTCTGTCTTGTTCACCCTCCCATGGCCCTCTCTTTCTCACTGCAGGGGGACATTCCTCAATCCTCAGCCTCTGGCATGCAGTAAATCTGCCTGAGAGAGACCTACTCTCTCAAGCCTGCCAAAAACAATCTGCTAGGAAAGACGTGCGGCTATTTATCAAAACCCAACCTCATGTTTGCCTTTTGTTCTCCTGACAAGCGCACAGAGCCATCAGGAATAAAATATCTTGTGTAAAATAGAAGTCTTTCTTGTCTGCCAGAGGAGAACTACCTCAAGGTCGAGCTGTGGTGACGGAGCAACTGTGAAAAAGGTGTTAATTGGGACAGGAGGAGCCTCACACAGGCTGCGCCGTCCTTTATTTAAAACCGACTTTTGAGTGCATAGATCTTACAGGTGGAAAGTAGCCGTAGCTGGCAGCGTTCCTAAAATTTGTCTTTGCACACCTGGATCTTGGGATGAAGGATTCCTTAGACTGACCTGTGCAGTAGTGCAGAACATCAGGGGTCACCTGCATGAATCTGTGTTGGACTCTTTTTGATTTTTCCTGGCTGTTTAAAGGCCGTACAGAGAACACTACATGAGAAAAGGAATCAGGGCCTGCAGGTAACGGACAGTGTAAAGTCTGTGAAATAATTTGTGAACTTTTGTAGGGCATGGGCATGAACCATGCCACACCCAGCATTTACCTCCTAAGCTAGTGTGCACATGTAACGTGTACAGTATATTCATGAATTAGGAAACACAAAAGCCAAATACAGTAAAAACAAAGAAAAGCAACACAGAACAGTGCAACTACTATGTACTGAAGTGCCATAAAACAAGAGGCAGCAGATTATTCATGACAGTTTGAGTTTAAAATGATCCAAAACGGAGTTCTGGGTTCATTTGTGTAAGTAAGGAATTCCACATGTCGACGCTCCAAACAGAAATTACGATTTCCACAATGGCACCCATAGATGCTGCACATGTTACTGAGATTTATACAAAAAGCTTTAAGAGGAAGCTCACTGCACACCCGGGGAGCCAAATTGTGCAAACATTTATATTATACTTTTATGCTACTGAATATAATAAAATGACCAAAACTAAACGCTGTCGTTGTGTGACCTTACTGACTTATTGTCCATAATTCTAATTGCCCATCTTTATAAGGGGCCCGATTTTTGCAGATGCTGCTTCCGACCAAGAAATAAAACAATAACTGAGAAGAAATGCAGTTAGCACCATTGTCTCACAGCAAGAAGCTTGGGGGCTAGTTCAAAGACATCCACATTTCAGCAATATTTGGCTCTAAATTGGCAACAGGTGTGAATGCTAGAGTGGATGGCTGCCTCTCTGTGTTAGCTCTATGAAAGCCTGGCGACCTGTCCAGGGTGTACTCCGCCTCTCACCCTATAACAGCTGGGATCCAACTTAACCACAACCCTAAATTGGATGGATGGATGGATGGAGAAATCATATTATCATCTAGTTTGCCTTTGCAACCTTACTCACCTTTTCGACTTGTTTCTCAAATCTTAAGATGGGAATCTAAAAGAATAAATGGATATTAAACCTCTGAATTCTGTTCCATCCATTGTCCATTAATCTTTAGATCTGACTCAGTTTGAGAACTGAGCTCTGGAAGAAAAACAAACTGACACCATTTTCTTATTGTTGAGCATGTTTTCAAGCCATGCGCTGCCATGGACTGTAAATGATGGAGACATCCTTTATGCATTTTACTGGACTCCATTGTCCCAGTGCGCTGTGACTGTGGAGTCGATCTCTGCAGGACAAAGCCTTCAATATCACATTCACATAAATGCAACTCAGAGCTGCCACTTAACCCAGCCTGCATCATGTGTTTGGACTCTGGGAAGAAATCAGAGGACTCATGGCAAAAACCAACACAGGCAAGGGGACAAGCTGAAATTCAACACACTGAAAGGACCTCACTGGCTATTGTTTAAAATATATTCAAGAACATCACTTATCCACACTTTGAACAAAACCACATCTCATATAAGCTGCTCTCCGTTTCATGACCGAGACAAATCTCAGTGACTTACTGTGGAATCTTTTTGAATCCACACCCAAACCATGAGCAACAAGTTGCATGTGAAAAGATTTTTACAGTTTATACCCCGCAATGGCACAGCATGTCTGGCAGTCATGAAGGGCACAACCACCAAAAAGCTCTGCTGTCTTGTTCCACTGCCAAGCCATAATTACAGCAATAAGGTTGGAGAGGCTCGTTAACCTTAATCTAGGAATTATACTGTGGCACCAGGGAAAGGAGGACGTGTTGTGTTGTGTGCTTGTACATAGGACCTGGAATTAGACATTTACCACAGAGGGGGGCTGGTGCTGCTTTGAACTACACCGAGTGAGAGTTGTGGTTCATGC